ATGAATTACGCGTCTATCACGAATGGACTTTTATTTTACTGAACGTAGTCAGATAAATAGTAGAACACATCATTCCTAATGTTAGCGTTAAGTTACAAATTACATACAAATATTGTTAGGTATAGTTCTTTTCCTTCTATGTGCCGCATTCCATTGGTACATAGGAATTTCGAGGAGCGCCAAGATTGCGTATCTCGTGTGTCTTTTAGTAGTTTTTCATCCTCTTCCTTCCGCTATCCATTCACACAAGTACATCAGATCAGTGGCTCGCTGCCTTCAATATGTCCCGTGTGATTAAGTTTTCTAAGCCCTCCTTCCTTTGTTATATGTCCAACGAATTTCTGCTATTTTTTCTGATTATAATATTCTTTCTGTTGCCGTTTTTATTTTCAAACTTTCTTGTAGCCCGCTCCACCCATGGAATTTTCAGTATCCTTTCTACTGTCTCTACGTTTTCCCCTCATCCGGAGATTGTTCAGAATTCACTGCCGTATAACTGAATGAATATCACAAAGGAAACCAGAACTGTTTGTAAATAAAAATCTTTTCAATTTCAGTTATTATTTGAAAAATTATTATAAATGTGTATTCATGCAAAAGATAGAGAGAGATAAAGAGAGATAAAGGGTAGGATTTATCGGATTTAAAGAATACACCCTCCCGTAATTAGTTCTTTAAATGTAGACTTTACTGTATTTTAAAAAATATATTCAGTATTTAAAACACTAGATATAGGCGTAAAAATAACGATTGCGCTATCGCAATCGTTATAAAAACCAGAACTGATGAGACAAATCTTTGTTTTAAGCAACAAAATTCAAAGTACTATGAATATTTATAAAGTTTACATAAGTATTTACATAGAAATGTAGATAATTATTATGCACTTTTATGAAGGAAAAATATGATTAATATTGAGTAAAGAATCGTTGGATATAATGAAAGAATTATTTGGTGGTTGTAAATAGCATGACTTATTAAAATCAATTTATAATCAGGGAGAAGACATTTCTGATCGCTTCAGGAAATGAATAAAACCGCTTTAATTATAGAAATATTATTTCTTAAAAATAGTGTAAAATCTGAAGAGAAAAATTCAATAATACACGATAATTCTTTAAAAATATAATAAAATCTACCGTCATTTTATAATTTTGGTGTCCCTATCAACGGCTTTTAGCTCGAAGTATACATAAAATAACTGACACACAACGCCGTGTTCAATGCCCAAACGTCGCTTAAGCGCGTCTTTCCACTATTAACCTATAAAAGTATTGTCGACAAATCTAATTTGAAAAAAAACCAAAAAACTATAGGAGCTTACCATGATAATAAATAAAGAAAACAGGAAATAATATCACCAAGGTGAGAGAAGACAATGATTGATTTATCCCAATTTCTTTACCGATTAAAATTATTTTTATTGTCAAACAACGGGTTTCAAACGAAATAATAAAGCTAATGTATTAAATTAGAAAGACTCCACAAACGATGCTGCCGGCGAATTAATATTATCAATTCTATAATGAATAGCTGACGGCCACATCACGTTGAAACACCGTTTCAGTGTCGAGCCTGGTCAGTACCTCTATGGGTGACCACTTGGGAATACCTTGCCTTGTAAACTTAGATATGTGGGTGATTTAATGGAAATGTTAATCGGAGAGCCGAGTTTCAATTTCCGTTGGGTTCATTATATTCACTTACGCGTAAATACCCTTGGGAAAGATATAACTTCACCTCTTCTCCCCCAACTATGGGTTAATTAATAAGAATTGTATCACAAAATCAGTATCATCTCAAAAAATATTTAAAATATAAAACAATATTTTGGGGCTTTAAATAATCTGCATCGGGATGATAGAAAATGAATGAATAAATCAAAATCTATGTAATGAATCTCACTCTCGTCTACACATAATCGATGTATTAAAAAACAAAAAATAATTTACTTGTCCACGTGACCAGTTTGAAAGTACATTTTTGTTTGTCATCATGTTTCCTTTCTGATGAAAATCACAACGATTCTCTCTTTCCTCAATGTGAAGTTACCAATGAAATGATGTTGGAGAAACTAAATAGGCGAGACACTAATTCTATTGCTTTTCTTATAGGCGATTCAATAAAGTGCGACGAAGAAATTAAATTATTCTCCCGTATTGTTCAGTAATCTAATAACACGGCTTATATGATGATTGATTTTTAGAGTTTTATTATATTAGACCACATTTGTAAAACTTTTTTTTGATTTTCAATCAGTTACAACCGCGTTTTATTTTAGCGAATAGCGATGCTACGAACGTGTAGCAATTGTCACTTAAGAGAAATACTGAATGAATAGAGATAAGCAAATACTGTGAGTAAAAATGTGGAATTTTTTTTTATTAAAAAATATCGCTAAATTGAAGTGTTTTAGTTTTTGGGGTCGTTATGTGACAATGATGCATATGGTACGTGGTATTAAGGATTAAAATATTAGACGATATAATCTTTAGGTTATTATTATGAGGGTGTATATAAGTGCCTCGAGTAATATATTTTTTTTACTAAGTACCTACCAGTGAAAGGCATGGGAGGCACTCAAATTAGAGAGAAGAATGAATTGTATCATATGAAGAGAAAAGAACGTGGTATGAAGATGAAATTATAAAGATATTTTACGATTGATTTTTGAATTGAGGTGAAGACTGAAGTGTTAGGAGAAGTACCTAAGCAGAGATCTCTCCTACAAAGTGAAAGTTCTTGAAAAGAAAAAAAGAGAGTCGAACATTTATAACATAGAATAAATGAGGTTGATTCGATGTCGCGGGATTCCCTTGGCAGTAAAGTGGAGAAATGGTGGAACTAAAGAATCGAACTCGACTTAATATTTGCCGTGAAAATATCGATAGGTTTGTAACATTGTGTTTGGAGGAAAACGGTTGTAAAGTGGAAAGATATTCTGATATTGTCCTGCAAACTAGACATGGGATAAAGAAATATTTAATTTTTATAGGGAATCAATAAAATCCTAAATATTTATATCAATAGCAACGAGCCCTGAGCATTTTAGAACAAAACAAAATTCAATAAAATATTTGATGGAGATTTGAGCCAATGTTTCGAAAGGCAGAGATCAGATTTATTCATATTACTGATTATGTTCGGTTTTATGCAAAATATCCTTTCAGAATGTGAACGTTCATGGCTCCCCACAATTTTCTAATCACTGCCTCCCCTGCCTCTCTTGTATCCAAGTGTAATTTTACCGCATTATGTGTTTCAGGAAGTTGAACTCTTTCTCTGATCGTCAACACGAGTGTACTTTTAATTTCCCATTTTCCTGAAAACTTCCTCGTTGTTCATATATTCCGTCCATGATATTTTCAGGATTCTTCTATAGAACCATATCTGTTGCTTCTTCCTTTGTGGGAATATTGTCCAGGATTAAACTATCATATAGGATGATTCTTATTACATAATATTTATTGAGTATTTGTAATTTGTTTCCAACGAATTTTTCTTGTTATCTAAACTTTGTTTAACCTTTGGAAGACATATTTTACTATTCAAATGTGCCTTAGGGTTCATGTCAAATTTTGTATCATCTGTTATCAAACATACCAGAATGTTATATTTCCGTACTTTCAATTTTTACGTCGCTAGTGCGTATCTGATCTTGGGTTGTTCCCTAGTTAATGACCATTAATTCTGTCTTCTTACAATTGATGGCCACCTTTTCTTCACTATATTTTCTAAGATTTCCTGCAATTGTGTCTGCATTCAATACGATATTATCTTCGTATCTTATATCGTTAAGATTGTGCCCACCAATAATAACTACTGTTAGTACTTCTCTAAGCCTCGTCTCGCTATAGAATTTGAATAAAGCCGGTAGAAAGATGCAAATTTGCTTTCACCCCTATTTCTGTGCACTTCAATTATTTTTCTATCCGTATACAGGCGTACTTGAATTCCAGCTTAGTTCGTAACAATCGCTTTCACGCAAATACCCTGCTTCTCAATTTAATATCGTCTTCTGAAGCTTTAAGGTAAATATCAGGGCAAACCAAGTTGGGAATTACAACCATCCTAGAAGAAAAAGCTGGATTCAAAACTGCATGTTGCTCTGGCGTAGCAAATACTCTGTAGACATTAGATTATGGTGTTACATTCTCGATCGTTTTCGATTTACGAATGCGTCTATGTGTTATTATTATTATTATTGTCTTTTGCCGTATGTACTGCGATTTGCCTTTAAGTTTCAACCAAACACTTTAGGAGAAAAGTTTTTTTTTGTACCAGAAGAAGCAAACAGATGAGTTGGTATGCAATTAGAGAAAAAAATGATGCAATTTAATCACTGTATGGTGGGAAATGACATTCACTTACGTGCTAATACCCTTGAGAAAGGTATGAATCCTCTTCTGCCCCAGCTAAATAGCAGAACAGAACGGGGTCTATAGACTGGGATGGCAACTAGTCTACCGCAGAATGAAATGGCAACCTATTGCGTGTAAAAAGTCTGCCTCGTTAATCATGTATCTTTCGATACATGATCGCCTAAGCGTTTATCAGGAATGGCAGATAACTGACTGATGGTGAGGTATCTATGAAACATATGAGAAGTGCCCATGTACGTGATTCATGTAATTCACTTATTTTAGAGCTATCAGGAATTTGATTAACATATTTGCTTTCCACTTTTGATATAATTCTCAAAGCTCTTAAAACAAGTAATGTTGTCATCTTGTTTTTATTTAGCGGCATATCAACAAAACTATGGGTTATTTAATGAGGAAATTTAAATATTTTTATACACAATTTTACTTTATTTTTAGTGATAATAATGGTTTACCGATAAAGTTCTTTCTAATTAACTCATAACCGCGTGGATTGATGCCTTTTCCAAGAGGCCTTGCGCGTAAGAGAATATAACGAACCCGGCTAGTATTGGAACTCGGTTCAACTATTAAAAAATCCGAGTTATTCTCAGTTACACCACCTTCACATCTAACCTTACAGAATCTAGTATTCCCACGCGGTCACCCATCTAGGTACTGAGCACACACATGGTTGCTTAACTTCCGTGATTGTACGGATAGCGGAGTTTCAATATGAAGTCACGTTGTCTTGTGATGCTACGTTCTAATGATTTATATCCTTGTTTTTAATTAGTTTCTCAAAAGTTTTCCAAGATTGTTTTTGTGGGCAGGCGTCCTGTTATAATAAAATTTTCTATTTTTTTTTTATTTTTATTCAATATTATATTCATACTTAAGCGTGAGCATAATGAGGAGACGATGAATCGAATAAGTACACAAAAACAGAAAGGGGTGTCAGATACGTTTGCGTTTACCCTCTAGATTTTTTTCAGCCTATAGAGAGAGACAATCCTTAGAGAACTAAAAGTTTGGGCGAAAGAGAACGCCACTTACCTAGAAAAAGGGCACGTGCGTACGATATGCCAAAAACAAAATAAAATAAGCAAAATAAAAATAAGTCAGTCGCAGCTGTTGCCATAAATGCATCTCGGATATGTTAATATTGTTTGTCCTCTCAAACCGTCGACTAATGTAAAAAAAATGTTCTGTCGATAAAAGCAGTCTGTTTTCTGGAACTGAATAGCAGTATATTTATTTATTTATTTATTTATACCGCGTCCATCGGCTTACTATTGACTGTTACCTTACGATGAAAGAGACTGGTCAGAATAACCATAGACAAATATTACTTGAAACGTTTCTAAATTGTATTTTTCTCGAGTTGCAATAAGCTTAGATATTTAAGATTTCGTTAGGGATGCACTGAAGTCGTAGAAGAAAAACAGAAAATTGAATTACTTTCTTGACTTAAAAGGATGTCACTTGAAATCAAACGAAGCTTTCTGTTTCATTCGCACAAGTGTCGTTCTGCGGATAAAATGTCTGCGTTTCCAATGCTATAATCAATCTGAAAGACTTAGGTATTTCGTGTTATTCGATGTAGACAGCTGAAATGAGTCAGTGGAGGACTACGACTGTTTGAACTTACTTTCTTTTTACTAGACACCATTAAACTGTTAGCAACATTTACTTTAAACGGAGAAAAGTTTTAGATTTCTTATCAAATGTATAAAATAACTATTGACCAAAGCTTCGTATAGGAACTTTTTGCTTGCCTGACAATTTATTCCACTGTTATGCAATAAATATATATATATATATATATATATGTAAATTGATAACGAGAGCTATTCCTCTTGAAATTACTATGTGCCGTGTCCCTTCAGAATATGGTCAGTCATGACTCACCACGACTTCATGTCCTTCATGGCTCTTAAAGTTTGCCTCTTGCTATCTCTTCTAATCTTTATCCTGGCAACTAATTACACAAGCTCGTTAAAGAGGTTATCCTGTCTTTAATATATACTGTGTGTCAAATTCTTATTAACTCTAGAAATTACAACAATCTATCTGATTCTAAGGAAAATTTTGTTTTTGTTTCGAATTTCTCTAAAACATCCCCATTACTCATATGGTTTAGTTCATGGAATTCTCAACATCTTTTGTAGAACCACATTTCAGTTGCTTCAAGATTCTTCCTTATCTGCATTGTTCAGTACTCACGGCAATAGAAGATCCGATATTGCATAACGGTCCAATATTCTTTTCTTTATTTTCAACTAAATCTTCTTGTTTTTTTAATACGTTACTTAGATTTTGGGAGGCACATCTGTTGCTATTCCAATGTGCCTTCTGATTTGAGTGTTGCATTTTCCGTCATGAACTAAAACACTTCATACATAATTAAATCTTTCTACTTAAAGTTGAATGAAGTCTTGTAAAATGCTATTTTTCGCATTACAAGTTATTTAAATTTTATCCCAATCGAAAATCTTCTGTAATTATAGAAGGTCTTCTTCGTCCAGATAAACTTGATGTGGACCCAAATTCACTGGCTGCCAAGAAGGAATATCATTACTGACAGTGAACGTTCTTGTATTTCATCAAAGGCTGCTGAGATAGATGCGGCTCTTCGGATTTTTCCGGAAGGAGGTGGCAGAGGTAGAGAAGCCTTTTTTTACCGTCGGAGTACATGCAGCGGTTGTACTATCTGTTCAGTGCCGGAGGTCTTCTCTACTCCCTTGTGTGTCCACCCATGTTGCGTAACATTTGTTCGGTAGCAGTGATATGCCCAGCTATGACTAGCTTAGACAAAATGACCAGCTAAGACCAGCGGCCCCAGTGGAAACACTGGAGTCCCCACGTTAAAAACCGACCTTGTGTCAAAACCTGATTCATTGGGGCGGGGTGGTGTTAAGGAACATTACTCTAAAAGAGGACTAGGTTAAATATGAGAATCTCTGCTATGTTTATTGAATATCTTTTGAGCAAGTCATTGATTCTTTAATAATTTCCACCACTTTTGAGAACAGAAATGGAAGTACAAAGTCTGAATGTCTAGTGTGTAGGGTACGGAAATTGACCACAGCCGCACATAAATTAGCCCCATTACAGCCAGTTCGTAAATTTGTAAGAACGTTTCTGTAAAAATATCCTGTGTCTATATTGGAGGATCAATAAGTCTCTCTCTGCTATCATGAAGAACAGCTGCGTAGGGAATTTCGATTATTTTATACATTGCTTGTGGCGAAATTATTGACTGCCGTAAAATCTTCCTCTCGGTTAAGAATAAAAAAAAATTTGATAAAGAACATAGATAAATATTTATTCCATGTGGAAACTGCAGAATACGCTGACTTCTAACCAGTGTTTAGTTTCAATTGAATTTGGATGACCGTAATTATTTGTGTATAACATATATGTGTATATAATATGCATATCTGACTTTGGTTTATAAAATTATGGAGAAAATGTCTTGTGGATAATACGCATCGACATTCTGTAATTTGTAAAAATTGCAGTATTTTAAAGTTTACCCCAAATTTCTAGTTTGTTAAATATTTTAGCAGTATCATAACAGCTAAAATTTCATCTAGTTTACATTATTTTTAAAAGCACTATATGGCTTATATTATATATTTAAAAAAAATAGTTTATCTGGACAGAGGGATAATGGAACGAAGAAGCCAAATATTACTGGCATTGAAATAGAATAATACTTTAGAAGGAACCAGACATTTATTCCTAATCAGGAAATTGGGATAAACGACTACTCCAGTTTAATAGACGGAAAGGAAGTGTGAACCGGGTGATAGGTGAGTCTATCTACTCCTGTGAGAGCTCTAATTTTTAATAAAATACACAGTATTTATAACAAATGCATGGATATTGTCACGCCAAAATGCAACGATCTTCATACTAAAAGAAGCTCATACTAAGAGAAACAAAACAAAAATTCCAAGGGATAGTGGATTTCTACCGAAGCTGAAATGTTTGTATGTTACGGCGGCCTGTGGAAAACAACTAGCCTTATTTGTTTGCGCTGCATTCAGATGCCATCGACAGACCAATGCGAAACGGCAGCTGGAATCGATGAAAATCAATCTTTTCATTCCTTGTCGGATGACTAGTGTTCTTCAACCAATGGACTTCAGCATCAACAAGCCATTCAAGATGCTTGTTCACAAAATGTAGAACCAATGGCTGGCCGAGGGATAATTTATTCTGGTAGGCCGTATTCACCAACCAGATCCTTCTGTTATATTTTCATAGATACTGGAAGCAGAGCATCCTTTTAAACATTGTACATATTCGAAATTATTACACAATGGGCGTTTTAGTAGGTCCGCGGTGAATATGCAGAATTGTAGTACGTTTTGAAGTGAATGGAGAGGGATAGGTTTCTTGTGGTGATTGAATCAGTTGCTAAGTGAATGGGTCGCGAATAGAATTAACTAGGTGATAGGCAGTGAAGACCAGCTTTTTCCGCATTTTCCCTTCGGTCTTATTAATGTTACATAAGCACCCCTTTATATATTGTGAAAAGATTAATCAAGGAGATGTTATAACTAACTCACTGTATGGTGCATAAAAATGATGTGTTCCTTGTTCCTGGCTCATCCTGCTGTCTATACAAAAGCCAATTCAGATCGAAAAATGGAATACTGCTGTTAAATCTGAACAGGAATTTACCAGTCTTTGCTTCCAGGCCTTGATAGATTTAAAACCATCAACGCAGCCTTCCAGTTGGTCAATTATTTACCGCCTTTCCGACAGAAACGTCACATGCATCACGATACTCTATCGCTATTTCCATGGAAAATGTTAAGAAAAGCTATATTTCCACTAGTTCAGAACTTCACTGCTAAAAGCACTCATGACCTGTACACAGAGATTAGTCCTCTATATCCACTTAGTATTACATTCGGACAGCTTCTTTCCAAGTATGCCTACTGCGTGGAATATGTTTCTGAGTGGAGGTTACAACGACCGCTACAATGTTAAATCTTCAAACCTAATATCAACCGTAATAGCCAGTCTATATTTCTGAGATGAGGTATTATGTACATTATTTACATTATTCGGACTATTGTCCTCATCTTTGTCGCCATATTTATCACAAAGTTTCGGCCGTTGTACGCTCCGGCCTTCTTCAGGTGGTTGGAATTTCGAACTGAACCTTTTATTTCGCTCACTGGGGTAGACTGTTCTAGTTCCACGTGCCTCAAGGACACATGGCACAGTGGATAAAGGCGTTGGTTATATCCAGTGACAGGACCCAAAGAGTGTGAGTTCAATACCCGGTTAAAGCAGTGGAGAACTTTCAGAGGGAAATTAGCAGGAGATAACTGATAACTGACATCCAACAAACATGGCACGTGGAACTTGAACAGTCTACCCCAGTGAGCGAAATAAAGGGTTCAGTTCGACATTCCAACCACCTGAAGAAGGCCTGAGCGTACAACGACCGAAATGTTGTGATAAATATGGCGACAAAGATGAGGACTATAGTCCGAATAATGTAAATAATGTAAATATCAGCCGTTATCTTTCCTACATACTCTCATAATTAGCATCCTTACCCACTCCTCTTATATTCATACAAAAACTTTATTCAGTTAACCCCTATCATGAGTGCCTCTTGGGAGTAAATTGGGTGAACGATTAGTTAAAAAGGGATGGTGACTGAATATGATATTGTTTATAATGAAGGACAAGATGATTGTAAGAT